CCAAACAAAATGCTCTGTTCTTGCTCTTAAGATTCAACTCTCTAAAATTCTTTTTTCATGTTTCTCTTTAAGTTTTGCATCAGTTGCTGCTGACCCCATTTTATTAAATCTATGAAAGATTCAATCTTTAACACAATGGATCATATTCAACCAACTTTTCTTGCAATTCTTTGTATGTTCACCATTTTTCAAACAATCCCTCTTTGTTCATCAGCTCCACTAAACTGTACGGACACTGGTCGTTTGTGCACTTCTTTCTTGGCTTTTAAGCCCGGCCCAGAAGAGACCCTGCCAGTTATTCAAAGCATGTTTGATGTGTTACCTAATGATATAACTATTGAAGGCAATGGTAAAGGTTATGTTTTTATAAGAAAGAACTGTACTTGTGCTTCTGGGATTAACAAGTACTTGACGAACTCCACATTTACTGTTAGAAAAAACAATGGATCTGTGTATAATATTGTTCTTGATGCCTATAATGGGTTGGCTTATTTTCCCTCGAATTTTACAAGGGAGGCAAAGAAAGGGGCAGTCGTTTCATTGAAGTTAATGTGTGGATGCTCAAGTGGGTTGTGGAATTATCTTATGAGTTATGTGATGAGAGATGGGGATACTGTACAGTCTTTGTCAAGTAGGTTTGGGGTTAGTATGGATAATATTGAGACTGTTAATGGAATTGCTAATCCTGATAATTTCACTGTGGGCTCTTTATACTATGTGCCATTGAATTCAGGTATGAGTTTCCTTTCCCTCTTGTGACTTCTTTTTGTCTTTGATGATTTAGGACTTGGTTTGATTTATCTAATTGTGCTAGTTGTGGTAAAATGGGTAAATTTGAATTTTGAACTGTTGTTCTTTTTTTTGGTTGGGCGTGGGTAGGGGGAGGGGTGAATCTTTGTGCTAGAGAGATGTAAAGTCCTCTCATTTGTTAGAATTGTGAGAAGATCATGGACTGTCTAATACTCAAGTCAAATTGTGAACACGAGAACGATGTTCAAGAACCTAAAGAGCTTTAGACTTTTTGCATTTAGCAGAAAGTTGATTAAAGTGGATATAATGGGAATTAGCTTGGCATTCCATGGGACATGGCGAAAATCAGTTGCCTCTGATTAGTTAGAGAGGTTGAGTTGAATGTATTAAGGGAAATGTGTATCTTGACGGGTATCATGCCTTATAGCATAGATCTATAATATATCAGTCTCAACAATGTATCCACTTGTTTAGCACAATAATCATATCACATGACCCGTAAGTGTGAGGACGACGTTGTCTGAAGATGCTCATATAGGTACAGAGAAGTGAGAGGATGCTACTGCTGACAGATTATAGTCTCAATTTTACGACTTCGCTACTTATCTATAAGCCCAATTTATTCTTGATTGTGAAAGTCTTTGCAAGACACTTCTATGCAACTTTGCGAGGCTCAATAACTATCTTGTATTTACTCATCGTCAATAGCTTTTCCTAATAAGTCTCTTTTGGCTAAAATTGCTATACTTCAACAACTGTTTATCTGTCCAGTTCCTGGTGATCCATATCCTGTGGCAAATCACACTGTTCCTGCTCCTGTTCCAGCACCTGCTGCTGCTGATATTTCAGGTATTATCAATTCCTCATAGCTTACGAGTACTCCTACTTTTCTATTTGGTTGATACGTGTTTTTCCATCTTAGTATCACTCAAGATACACCATATTCATTTGTAGATTTAAACACAAACCAAATGATTTTAACTTTGTAGTAGTCATGGCATGTCAAGTTTTTGTGCCCTTCTTTCTCTTGGTTCTTGTGAGGCAGTGTCTTGCGTAAATCTGTCACTGGAACAAGTGATCTATCCAAGAATTTGATTATCATTCTGCAAGCTATTCTCTGGTAATGCAATGAAAAATCCAAACTTTTATTTGACTCTAAGGTTTTGTATTAGCAGTCGACTGAATTTAGCTTTATTCTATCACTGATTAAAAAAAAACATTTGCTTTATTCTATCACTGATTAAAAAAAACATTTGCTTTATTCTATCACCAGCTGTTGGCTGCTTGAAATCTTATTTGTCCTTCAGCATGATGTATATGCCTAGTTATGTGGTAAATGTCAAGCTCATATATTCCTTTTATGAGAAAAAATAATTTATTAAAAGAAAATGAACAACATAAAGGAGGAGGACAAGGTTTTCTCATAATTAATAGGTGTTACCTCAACCATTTGTCAAATGTGTTCACTGTATCCATTGTATTTTTTCTGGCTTCTTGACACTTTGGATTCATAAAACAAATCATAGTAAACATTTCCCTGCCAGTCATTTGAATTCATCTGTGCAGTAACCTTGTAATTCAAATAATTTGATTTTCCTTTCTATGTTGGTTTGCTAAATTCTTTTCATGCTACAATTTTTCTTCAAAATAGAAAGATCCTCAAAAGTATTTCCGGACTCCATATCTTGGTGGATTTTCCCACAAGAGATGCATTTTAGATGGCTACCTTTCTGTTGCAGTATATAATCCCCAAAAGCTCATTTTTTTTCTGCAGAAATTAAGGAGAATCATAAGAGTCATGCTCTTTACTGGTGGATAATTGGGGGCTTGGGTGTTGGTCTTCTTCTCCTAATTGCTGTCATTCTTGCTTTTGTTTCCTGGAGGTCGTCAAGTTGTTTTTCCAGAAGTGAGAGAAGTCGCACAGCAGGTTCAAACGAGAAGATTTCTCATAAGTTCCAGGTTCTTCGAAATACAAGTTTCTGTTGTGCATCAGGAAGGTACATCTGTGGTGATTCAGGTGACCGGAAAGAACCTAATGGAGAATCTAGTGACCAACAGATGAATATTCCAAAAGGTAGGAACATAGAGATGCATGCTCTTGCAGTCTTTCTATGCCTGTAAAATTCCTTCAAATTTTTATGCAAGAGACCCAAGTCATTTGCTTCTTACATATATTAGTATGTGCGAGCTAGTGTTCTAAAAGCCATCAAAACAAGATCATAAAGAGGGAAAGGTGTGTGTATTATGGTTTCACTATCATGCAGGACTTTTTGATATAATACTTTACTGTTTCGGCATCCTGCAGTTATAGGGACTGATGTCTTTGACATGGAAAAACCTCTTGTTTTCATCTATGAAGAAATTCTGTCTTCTACTGATGGATTCTCTGACTCCAATCTTCTTGGTCATGGAACCTATGGCTCTGTCTATTACGCCATTCTCCGCAACCAGGTTAATTTTTCTCTACTTCACCTATCTTGATGCATTTCCTTTGAGCATGGCCTATCAACTTGCTTATCACTTTGAAACATTAACCTTTCAGGAAGTTGCAATCAAAAGAATGACAGCCACTAAAACAAGAGAATTTACTGCTGAGATGAAAGTTCTCTGTAAAGTTCATCATTTGAATTTGGTAATGAATACTGAATTTCACTGCAGCACCCTGACTTTTTTTTATTTTCGGAGCTTGATGGTAGTGCTTCATCAATTCAAAATTTTGACTCCTGTCTTGGTATTATTTTGTCAAGGTAGAATTGATCGGTTATGCCGTCAGTAATGATGAACTATTCCTCGTTTATGAATATGCCCAGAAGGGTTCTCTTAAAAGCCACTTGCATGATCCTCAGAACAAAGGTACTTATTGTCAAGATAACCGTTTAGCTCAGAATTTATTTTGGTGAATAAGCTAGATGATTGGACCTCTTATTTTTTAATAGGCCATACACTGCTCTCTTGGATCATGAGAGTCCAAATTGCACTTGATGCTGCTAGAGGTCTGGAATACATTCATGAGCACACCAAGCCGCATTATGTGCATCGAGATATAAAGACAAGCAACATCCTTCTTGACGATTCTTTTAGAGCAAAGGTTTGTTGTGGTGCCGGGGTTTAGTCTTTTGTGGTTGTCAATTTCGAACCCAAAAAACATCTCATTGCCTTTGATTTGCAAACAGATTTCAGATTTTGGTTTGTCAAAACTTATGGGGATAACAAATGATGGAGAAGCCTCTGCAACACGAGTTGTTGGAACCTATGGCTATGTAGCTCCAGAGTAAGCAACATAACCAACAATAAGCAATTATACAAATTTGAAACTTGCTTCTCCCTTATTTTGTTTGTTTCTCTTGCTGTTGCAGGTATTTGAGGGACGGCTTGGCAACTACAAAGACTGATGTGTATGCATTTGGTGTTGTTCTTTTTGAGATGCTGACAGGGAAAGAAGCCGTCACCCGGACTGAAGGCAATGTCATGAAAACTGCAGAAAGACGTTCGTTAGTGTCCCTTGTAAGTCTAATTGCTCAGTAACTGTTCAAAATGGAAGACCTTCTTCCTTATGGATTCTATTCCCAATATTGCCACTTCCATTCTGTATGGGAGAACTGGTTGTCTGGTAAAAATGGTGAAAGACATCGAATTTATCATACAAAATGAGTAAGATCACATTTATGAAGGCTCTGGAAAAATGTCTCGACATTATCACACACAGTCAGTATATGACTAGATGTCACCTGTCTGTCATCTTTATCAAATTGGGAAGTTTACTATTCTCTGGTCTCGGATCTGTTCATCTACTCCGTAAATGCTTTACTTTAAAAAATTTCAGAAATGCACGAACTCGTTCTCTATTGTTATGTACATAGCTACATTATTGTACTGTGTCTATGTACACTACGTTATTGTACTTTATTGTGTATTCGTAAATACATATATTACACGCACATTTTATATGCACGCTAGAAATCAATAATTGGCAGCAACTAATGCTGCATAATTGCAGATGATGGCAGCTCTGAGGAACTCACCAGACTCCACTAGTATGACCAGCTTAAAGGACCAGCTCGATCCCAGTTTGATGGACTTATACCCTTCTGACTGTGTTTTCAAGGTAAATTGCAACTTTTACAATTATGTTTGTCAAACTTGTAGCAGTTCAATTTGTACCTCATCTACATTGAAACGGAATAATAAACAGTAGTTTAAGATGGGAATAAAATTTGCCCTGTTATTGTCTTAGGTTTTTTTTTTGGGGGGTAGTTATTATGATAGGGACATCAGTGACTGAATTTCTAATGAGATTTCAGAGCTTGTTTCATTGTGTTCATTTCGCGACTTATTCCATTATTCATTTCACTAGGTGGCTATGCTGGCTAAGCAATGTGCGGATGATGATCCAATATTGAGACCAGACATGAAGCAAGTGGTGATTACACTTTCTCAAATACTCTTATCTTCTGTGGAGTGGGAAGCAACTCTTGCTGGGAACAGTCAAGTATTTAGTGGCATTGTGCAGGGAAGATAAGCCCTGAGATTGGTCACAGAATATCAAATGAAGCACTTTCCTCACTTTTGTGTACATAATAGTCTTGTTATTTGAAGTCAATCTTCTCCATTTTACCCATTCTGGTCACTGCTGTTATATCATTCTTTACAAAGTAACCTTTTGTTTTTATCTGTCTAGTGCACTGAGTAATTTCTCATATAGTGGATGTATTTTGTGATAATTAACGGGAGTTTAAGCTGCAGTTTTGTATTTAATATGTTGTACAAGATCTCAAGTATTATTCAAAATCGTTGAAGTTACATTACATTCTTTTGCCAACGGTTTGTCTATTTACAATTGTATTTTCTTCTTTTTTTATGATCGTGTTAAAAGCTATTGGATTGGTTCATATGATGTTTGGATAACATATTACAACAACAACACAACATACCCAATATTATCTCACACCGTGGGATAAAAATAAGATAGTAAGGTGATCAACAATGAAAGAAAACAACAGAAACCTACTACCAACAGAAAGTGAGACTGCGTGCCAATACTACTGTTATGAACACTCTAGACTACCTACTCTACTACCCTAATCCTCGACCTCCATACCTTCCTATCAAGGGTCAAGTCCTCGGTCAGCTAAAGCTGCGCCTGTCTTGCCTAATCACCTCTCCCCACCTCTTCTTTGGCCTACCTCTACCTCTCCGTAGGCCCTCCAATGTCAACGTCTCACACCTCCTCACCCGGGCATCTGTACTCCTCACATGACCAAACCATCTAATGTTGGCTCACATACTAATAAGCTGCAAAACAATCAAGAGGAACTCTAGAGAACTGTCTTCAAGATTGTCATCTATAATAGGAATTGCGATGCCACGACTAGAGGACTACTAGATAATAAATCTAGAACAGATTGAGTCAAACTGACAAAAATTCTTACGAAGGAAAGTATAAAAGTTCACCATAACATGTTAATATCAGAGACAGAAAATACAAAGTTCTTCAAATATAGCCATATGAAGGACGAAATAAAAGAAAGACTATAACAAACTTCAGACGGGGAATTTAATCCCTATATCATATTGGTTTGCTTTTACTTGCAAAGTGAAGCTAATATGCGACGAGGTGGATTAAAAGGTTTCCTGGAGTGAAGAACAGCCAAATTATCAATCAGTAAGACGTCGCCTTTCTTCCATGGAACTGCAACACTTTCATCCTCAAGGATTCTTAAGCAATCATGTATAACTTCAGCAGGCAAAGGCTGACCATCTCCAAAAGTGACTGCTTTCACTGGATCATTTCTAGTATCTTTCCATCCGGTATATGCAGCTACCATGCTATTGAACCATATTTTCTGTTGCCTTACTTGGTTGAATTTGATGCCTGGTATAGGGCCCATTACGGTTTTAACTCCATCCTCTATCCATTCTAGCTTCATGCCCAACTTTGCAGCCCTGTTAATTAAAATGCGCGAGTCAATGAATCATTGTAAAATTTCATCAGGGCATTGGGTTTCGTAAACAACACTAGCAACCCATTAGCCCTTCATCATAGAGGAAAATTTTGTACAAACAACTAGAGTTGAACCAATGGTGGGCAAATTATACCCTCGCTGCTACATAAAGTATTCAGATCAAGAACAACGGTTATATGGGTGAATGGGTGGGGGAGAGATCACTACAACTTAAGAAAAACAAATTGGAGACCAACAAAAATAACAACCTTTATTTCTTAAGTGGATTTTTCTAAGGGAAAAGTATAATGCAGGATAACTTTTCAGTTTTCTTGTCTTAGAGCAAATTCATGAACAAATCAGCTCTTATAGTATAGTTACTTGCAAGCAGAGTATTTTGCTTTGGAAAAGAAACTACTGAGCTGAACTATCCTTTTCCTCTTCTCCAAAGCACAAGAATCAAATAAGCAAGGTGAAATATCGATGCTTTATTTAAGTTCTGGAAACAGTCTCGTCCGTCACAAATTTTTTGCCTTATCCATCTTTTTCTACCACTGCACACCAGAGTCTTATATCTCATGATTGTTTAAATGCTGCAGCACCTAAAGAGTCTTAAAGCTTCCACTTCTACAAAGCACTAGAATAAGATAAGCTAGTAAGCGAGGTACAATACGTATATTTTATTTTAGTTCTGGAAACAGTCCGTACCTCAAAAGGGGTTTTATTGAATAATGCTCATTTTTATAGTAAGCACCAATAAAGTTATTTTGTTTTTGAAAGCTAGTCAATTATAAAGTTGAAGATCCTCGATTAAAACAATCTTTCATTTTGTCTGTTCACTATTAAAGGTATATGGCTATACCTTTAATAGTAAAAAGACAGAATGATAGATTCCTTTAATCCAAGATCTTGAACTTTAATTGACTTAACTTTCCGAATAAATGTGTACTATAAAATGAGTTTTCTTCCTTGAAAACTCTTTTAGGTACGAGAATGTTGTTAGAACTAAAATAAAGCATTCATATTTTAACTCGCGTACTAGCTTACCTGATTCTAGTGTTTCAGAAAAAAGCTAATCAAAACTCTCTAGGTACTGCACCATTTGAACAACATAATCTAAGATTTAGGTGACTAAAGTGGTAGAAAGGTGGACAAAGGCAGGGCTATATTTCTGTGATGGACAAGACTGTTGCCAAAACAATAATAAAGCATTCATATTTTATCTCGTCGACTTGCTTATCTGATTCTACTGCACCATTTGAACAATGTAATTTCATGAAATCTGCTAGTCAGGCGATAGAAATAACATCAACCACTAGCTGGAAAAGTAAAGATGTCAATGTAGTTTCTTTCCCCTATTTGGCATACTGAATTCCAGTGCCATCTTTACCAGTTAACTTAACTCATTACTTAGCAGTTAGGGGAGTAAAAGGAAGAAGTTCAAAAGAACCCTTTTTCACCACTTTTCTGATATTTTATCTCTTCTTGCTTCCCCAATATGTAAGAGTAAGCTTTTGCATCATTACTGCTAGATTTAAAGTCAACAAAGAATATAGATAGTGCAAGCAAGGTATAAGTTGACTCATCTAGCTGCTAAAACAGTGAAAAGGAATGTGCTCCAGGCAACAGAGAGACAAGTCAAAAGAAGATATAGGAGCAAAGCACGAACCTTTCTTCAGCCACGCTTTTGTCTTTAGTTAGAAAGGTCGACTTCCAGCCTCGGCCAATCGGGGAAGAAGGATCATCATCTTCTCCTAATACTCTTATATAAATTAAGCCATGCTCTTCCAATCGCTCAACAAAATCAGGATACTTGCTTTTCATCTTCTCATATACAACATGACTGAGCACTATTGGAGTTTCTCCTCCACTTCCAGGTTCAATATCACAAAAGAAAAACAATTTTGATGGATACTCGGGAACCTACTCCAAGAAAATAAAAATTCCAAAGTTAATATCCAATACAATTAACTAAAGAATATCAAAGAATCTTGACTCTTGATCTTATAACATAGGGAAAAGGGTATTGATTTTCTTTGTATTAACAGTTGATAATAAGGGCTTTCTACTATTAGTACCTGTTTTTATCCAGTCTTGATCTAATAACCATCAATAAACCAATCAATTACACTTCAAATTCAAACTAATCTTTTCTATCCATTCTGCTCTATATGCTTTATAATTTTTCCATCTTTCCATTTTATATGACAGATCCTTTTTAGTCTATCCCAAAAGAATGACAACAACAACATACCCAGTGCTTTCGTCTGGGAGGGTGGGGTGTACGCAGACCTCACCCCTACCTTGTGTAAGGTAGAGAAAAACAATTTACTAACTTTAAACTTCTCATTATGAATCATAATTACAAAAATTTCTGTGACTTATTTTAAACTACAAGTTTCAAAAATCTTTTTTTCTTTCCTAAATTAGTTCCCAGTGAAACACTTTCACATAAAATAGGACGGAGGGAGTACTTACTACTCCTAACTTACAGGAATTTAGTAGGATAACAAAGGACAATATGTACAAGTGATAGATTTTGTACCTGAGCCATTTCATGATGAAAGGGAATTTTTTGATCAGGTGGGGACTCATTAGCGGTGAAGACACGACCAACAACGTTGGTACGAGGAGCAGCACCACCCACATACGGCAGTTCCTCGTAGCCAAAAGCCTCAACAACATCATTAAAATCTGATGCCGAGTTTACAGAAAATCCCCTGAAAAGAATAGCCCCAGATTGATTGAGTAGAGAACTAAGCCATGGTTTTTGCTCTTTGATTATTTGTGATAGTTGTGAGATAGTAGAGTTTGGGTTCGGAGATAAAACAGCAGGGAAAGGAACTCCATTGTAGTGCTTCTGTTGAGGTATTTGGACTTGGGTCAATAAATTTTCTGCCATCTTTTTCTTTGTGTCTATTTTCACAATTATTGAGTATTGGTTGAGTTATATATATGGAACCGTGCAGCGTCACGGCTGTGCAAATATTTATGTCAATTCCAAGTCGGGTGAAAGATTGTGTTTCTTATTTTATCACAAAATACGTCCATATTCATTGAAAGTGAATTATGGAAATCTTGAGTTTAATTTAGTTCTTGGAATATTCGGAAGTTATATTTACCTTTATAACTTCATTTAATACCCCCTCAGTTTCCTCTTACTAGTTACTCCCTCCGGTCCCAAATAAGTGATTTTTTTGCCTTTTTTTTGTGGTCCAAAATAAGTGATTTTTTCAGATTTCAAGAATGAATTAACTTTTTTTTTCCTACATTGTCCTTGGAGTAAATAGCGTTGGAATATGTGTTAGGAGTGTTTATGTGAGATAGTAAAGGTTAATATGGTCAATTCCATTGCTAATTAATGTTAAAAGGTAGATTTCTTAATCTATGTGAAAACATCCAAAAAATTACTTATTTTGGACCGGAGGGAGTAGTATATTATAAATAGTACTTCATCTGGTCCACATAAGTGATTATTTTACTTTTTATTTTGGTCTAAAATAAGTAATCACTTACATAATCAAGAAGAAATAAATTTAATTTTTTAAAATTTGCCCTTATTTATATATTCCAACGTGTCAAGGTAACAATTAGTTAAGATTAATTTAGTGAATAAATCTTTTTTTCTCTAGGAGTTTGTATTTCCTTGATTGGTATGCCAAATGTAAAATGGTCCTTATTGTGGACCGAAGGAAGTATTATTTATTTTACTTACTTACTTTATTAAATCAAGAGATTTGTTTGTTTTTCCTTATCATTAAGTACCCACACTTTCAAATCATTAGTTTGTTGATAAAAATTTTATTACCTTAATAATTTAGTAAAATAAACTCTTAATAAATGATTCTTAGGAGTTTTGCCAAGCTAATAGTTTTTAAAGCTACAACTACCTTCTAACCTTTTTTTACTAAAAACTTCGAATACTATTAATATCTGATTTGTAATGAATTGTAAAAGGTAGGTCCAACATTATTATAGTTCTCAGTTCTCACAACCTTTATTAATGTGATTTATGTCATGCTCACTAGTAACTTTATCTTTAAGGATTTATGTCTTGCGCGCTAATATTGTTACCTTTATGATAAGGATTTATGTCATGCATGTTAATAATGTACATGATCCTTATGTTAGCAGTGCAATTTAATTATCTATGACACATAATGACCCTATTTTACATACAATGTCAGATCTATTATGACGTATTATTTGTCATTATAAGTCAATTTAATTTTGACGATGTTAAATATTTACATTGTACAAAATTTAAATTCTTTATGGTAAACCATTTAGCTGGCCCTCGAGCAGGAGGTAAGTTGTCATTTGAATTTTATCGTATCAATTGGGTCAATTGCGTCTTCCTTGTAAATAGTTATCGTTTGGTTTTAAGAGATTCTTACTCTAACTGTCCAATGAGAATGATAAGAGAAAGATCATATGGTACGGGCCAAAATATATATTATTTCAGTGTTAGGCGGTGCAATAATGGTGTTACTCTCTATTTCTTTTCTTCTTCTTTTTTTTTTTCCTTTTCCTTCTTCTCATTTAGAAAAATAAAAATGGTGTGTTTCTCTGGTGTTTTTCCCATCGTAATCCCACCAGTATGGCAGTAGTATAGAGTAAATACTACTTTGTAACAATATTTCTTTTGTAAATATATGTAGTTTAACTACTATGCTGAGCTCGTTTGGATTAGCTTGAAAAAAAAGTAGTTTTTAAGCTTGGTGCTTAAAAGTTACTTTTTAAGTAGTGAAGCTGATTTTATAAATAAGCAGTTACGTGTTTGGATAGAAATGCTGAAACTGAAAATAAGCAGTTGATGTGTTTGGTAAAAAAGTGTTTTTGATATTTGCCAAACACCAAATCAAGCTAAAAAGTACCTTAAGATGGTTTGGTCAGCTTTTAAGCCAATCCAAACACCCTTCTGCAAAAAGGAAGAAGGAGAGTTACATATACTGCCTATCCGTTGTATTTTTATCGGACTTAAACCTGGAGGTGTTTACCGAACGGGCTGGACCAGGCTGGTCATACGAAAAAATAGCTCGTCCGGTTAGTGGGGTGTGCTGGTTGGTGGACTAGTATCCCAAGTTGTTAGTGTGCTGGGCAATTCCGGGTTCTAGTGGGCCCGTTCGGGTTCGAGCCTATCCGATTCGAACCGCCGGCCATATATATATATATATATATATATATATATATAATATATATATATATATATATATATATATATATATATATATATATTATATATTATATATATATATATATATGGTGTAATATATTTTCTTGTTCAATGTAATTGATAATTAAGTATTTGCAAACTTCTAAATATAAAACAAGTATTTTAAGATATAAAATTAAACTTTTAAACTTTTAAGTGTTAAATTTGAAATTTGAATTTTATATATATATATATATTATATATATATATATATATATATATATATATATATTATGTAATATATTTTCTTGTTCATGTAATTGATAATTAAGTATTTGCAAACTTCTAAATAATAAACAAGTATTTTAAGATATAAAATTAAACTTTAAACTTTTAAGTGTTAAATTTGAAATTTGAATTATAAATTTGAAAATTGAAATAAGTAAAAATTATTTAATAAGACCATATGTAAGGATCAAACTTCAAAGGTTTCATTTCATATTTTCAAACATAATAATACTTCAAATTAACTTGCAAAGGCTACAACAGTCAGACCTTTTACTTACTGTAGTAAATAATTTTCTTAATTTTTAAGTATAAAAATTTATTTTTGTATGAAGATTTTTTCATAAATAATTTTTATGTTGTTAGTGTATATGAATTAAAATTATTATATATATAGTATCTATTTATATAAAAAATAATATACTTCCTAAAATAGTTTCCAATTTCGAGCGACAGTAGTCCTACTCCCAAAAAGGTTCGGACTTTGGAAAAAAAGTACTCCCTCTATTTCATATTTAGATGACACACTTTTCTTATTATATCCATTCCAAAAAGAATGACACATTTCTACAATTGCAAATTATTCAACTTTAAAACTCTTCTTTTACCAATTTTACCCTTGATGAGAAGCTTCTATAATCACACAAATGTATGACCCATAAAGCTTTTCCCTCAAGCTTTTAAGACCACAAATTTTTAAAAGTTTTTTTTTTCTCTTAAACTACCTCATCTAAATTGAAACGAAGGAGTAGTAAAGCGTAAACCGCGAATAAATATGAATAATAATAATAGGAAAATTCTTTCTGCCACAACTCTTTTTTGCACAATAGCTGAGGTTATTAATGTAAAAATCACACTCAAATTAGGGGTTCTGCT